GAGTGTTCATAATCACTTGATTTGTCTCCTTTTGACAGAACTGGCTTTTGCGTTCCATGCCAGTTCTTTTCTCAATCCAGTCCTAAACATTTCTAGCCAAGGAAGTGTTGAAAGAGCTTTAAGCGATTTATAGTATCACTCTTTAAGGAGGCCCAAATGGATCCCTAGTGGTAATAAATCCAGAGCCTTGTCCTGTGTACTGAGAGGGACCTGGCTTTTGGGATTGGATTTTACCATGAGAGTTGTAGAACACTGGAACAGGTTGCCCAGAGAGGTGGTGGATGCTCCATCCCTGGAGACGTTCAAGGCCAGGTTGGACGAGGCCCTGAGCAACCTGATCTAGTTGGAGATATCCCTGTTCCTTGCAGGGGGGTTGGACTAGATGACCTTTGAAGGTCCCTTCCAGCCCTAACCATTCTATGATTCTATGATTCTATGATTGAGGGGTTCAAACCTGGGCTCTCCATCGGGTGACGGTGCTCCACGACAGCACCAATATGGCCGTCCCCAAATTCTCAAACTCTTCCAGAGAGTACAACGTTCTGCATAAAAACAAAATGCTTAAAATGGCCAGGGAACCAGTTTAGACTGGTGGTTGGTGCCAAGTACACAACACGGTTCTCAGCTGCGAATTGAAGTTTCCAACTTCCAGGCTGGTACCAAAAGGAACTTGGGTGCTGCAGGGATGCCAGGGCAGTTTTCAAGAAGAACTTAGTGTTTCTCCAAAGTACTGTAAGAGACACAGTAAAAGAACGTTCTCTGAAGTCTCACTCTGTGGATCTCTGTGGAAATGAGGAATAGAAAATACTCCAGTAGCAAAACTTTTAATTGCACAATGATCGGTAGTTTTAAAGCTTTAAAACATGAAAAATTAGCATAAGTTCACTAGAAGGAGTTCTGAGTGAACATGTGCCACATAAACCATCTGCTCCGATTTGTAAAGAGGTAGAAATTTAGCTCTACCAGCTGAAAGCACCAGTGCAAAGCAGGAGGCACTGGAAAAGCAGCCACACCTCCTCCAAACAGAAAGGCCGTGCTGTTTTGGTTAATTAATATTAGACAGACAGTCCTTTTCAACCAAAGGATTTTAATTTGAGAGTGATGCAGTCCATGGAAGTCAGACCCTCGGCACTGAGGGGCAGCTGCTTCTGGAGAGCGACAGGCAAACTGCCAAAGAGCTCACAGCACCAGCCTGAGCACCCAAGTGAAAACACACGATCCTGTCACCACCATCGGTGCTAATACACAACCCTCACATAGCCACGTCCAGCTCCTGCCCCTGGGAACGCTGAAGAGGCAGATCCCTAGTTACTTTGTTGTGGCCAGACTCCTGTCATTGCCTTGGTTCAAGGAGATTATCTGTTCTCTTGGCATCTTCAGCAGCGAAAGCTCCCACCAAGCGCTTCTCCAGCACGCGCCCGGACAGCCTTCATCACACATCTTTCTTGCGAGAGAAGTAAAAATCTACCCCTCTGTCTTGGTGCTGCACTGGCGTGCGTGCAGGTCCTCTCCTGCCCCTGGGATGGGGACTTCTTCCCTGCTGCAAATGGAAGAGGAAAAGTGAGATAGTTACTGATGCTGCAGAGCGAATCTGATCACAAAGCAGTCTTGACATACAGAAAAACGTGCACGTGGCGATTCTACTCCAAAATTCAGTAAAAAGGTGGGGAGGCCTGACAGGCACAGCTCGAGGCTTGCACTTAGGAGAAACTAGGGTTTCTGGTACGGTTTGGCCTTGTGTTTTCAAAGGTATTTTCATCCTCAGTTTGAGGGAGCTAGAGGGGGAGGTTCTTCTCCAGGCCTCAGTAACATCAGGTCATGCATTGGGTTTATGTGGTGGGGTTTGGTGGCAGGGGAGGGGCTGCAGAGATGGGCCTTCTAAGGAGATGTGAGAAGCTTCCCCAGCTCCAAAACCAGCCGGACCGGTCTCTGGCCAGGTTGGACTCCCCTGCCCTCTGGCCAGGGCTGAGCTAATTGGCACCTCTGCAAATGCCATATTTAAGAAGGGGACAAAGAAACCCAAATTGGGCGGGACCTGCAGTGAAAACAGGGGGAAGGCGGGGGTCTGGCCCCCCCGGCCTCCCAGGTGGGCAGCTGCCCACACTGGGCCGCTGCCACTCAACTGGAGATGGCTACAGCGGTGCAGCTTGGAGAGCTCTGAAGTGCCCCAGTCCCGGGGCGCCCGCTGGGCAGAGTTCATCCTGCCGACTGTCGGTCAGGCCCACCGCGGCTGCAGAGGAGGGAGGACTGAGATCTGAGAGAAACAGACACCAAAGACAGCGAAGATGGAGCGGGAGGGGGGGTGG